TGGCGGCGGTAGTGAGGTTGGCCCAGGATCGGACATTGTTTCGTTCTGCTGTGCATGGGGTCGCTATGAGTCGGTTCCGACTCGATGGTACCTGACAACAACAACAACATGCTTACACCCTGGGGCCCGAAAGTACCGTTCCAGAATCCCTAAGCAAGTGTCTTTGGCACCAGAAGGTCTTGTTTGGTTGCCCCTCTCTACATCCTACCCCGCCGCGCCCCCGATGTGGTGGTGGCTATGTGCCATGGAGTCTGTTGTGACTCATAGCGACCCTGTAGAGTACACACCCTCATTCTATAAATGTTCCACACACTCCACACCACAAGCATTTATACACTACACATACTACAAACATCATACACAACATCCACATAATACACACACCACAACAACATATTTACATATATATAGAGAGAGAGAGAGGGAGAAAGAGCTCTGGTAGCGTAGTGATTACGAATTGGGCTGCGAACCTTAAGGTCAGCGGTTCGAAACTACCAGCCACTCGTGGGAGAAAGATGAGGCTTTCTACTCCCGTAAAGATTTACACCCTCGGAAACCCTGTACAGGGTCGCTATGGGTCAGAACTGACTCCACGGCACTTAACAACAACAACATAGAGGGAGAGACAACAACATATTTGCATATATGAGTCAGAATTGATTCCACGGTACTTAACAACAACATATATATATATTTGTGGACATAAGTAGAGTCCTGGTGTGGTGCTGTGGATTAATGCACTGGACCGCAAGCTAGGTTTGAACCTCAAGGTCGTATAGCGACCCTGTATAGGGTTCGGAGGAGCAGGGAGTGGGTTTGAGCTGGCAACCTTATAGTTAGCAGTCCAGTGGTAATCCTACAGTGTCACACCAGGATACCATTAGTATATATGTTGTTGTTGTTGATAAGTGCCATAGGGTTTCCAAGGAGCAGCTGATGGGTTTGAACCGCCGACGTTGTTGTTTGCAGTCCGGTGCTGATCCTACAGTGCCACACCAGAAGTCCCAACAACGACATACTAATATTTATATCCACAAATATATATGCTGTTGTTGTGAAGTGCTGTTGAGCCAGTACCAACAACTGTATAGGGTATTCTAGAAGAAGCTGGTGAATTTGAATTGCCAGACTTGAGATTCAAGCCAACCTTTTGGTGGAGTGCTTATCCTACAGTGTGTATTTGTATATATATTTTTGGACATAAATACTGGTTTGTGGTTGTTAGGAGTCCTGATGTAGCACTGTGAGTTAATGCACTGTACTGCAAAGTCAGTTTCATCGGAAAGACTGGTAGTTCAAGCTCACCAGCTGCCCCTTGGAAACCCAATATAGGGTCGCTATGGGTTGGAAGCAACTCAGCGGCACTTATTAACAAATTGTTATTAACTGTCATCCAGTTGGTTTTGACTTATAGCAACCCTGTATAGGATTTCCAGCGGGTTAGCAGTCCAGTGCTTATTCTACAGAGACACATCAGGAGTCCAAATACTAGTATATATATCAACAAATGTTAGTATGTTACGAAAGTTTAAAACTAGCTGATAAGTGAATCCTCTTGGTGTCATAATTTTGGAATGCCTTTGGCTGGCTTTTTTCCCCCCAGTTTTTATTGTGAATTGCGTGATAGTTTACATGGAAGAACATTGGTTTTACATTTATTGTTTCATTGAAATTATTACAATCTCCTCCATGCAGCATCATTCAACAGTTGTTGTTGTTGTTGTTGTTGTTAAGTGCCGTCGAGTCGGATCCGACCCATAGCGACCCTGTACAGGGTTTCCGAGGCTGTAAATCTTTACGGGAG